TAGAACTATAGCCAGAATTAAAAATAAAATCTGAAATATTTTTGATAAAACTAAAAAAAAAAAAAAAAAAAAAAAAAAAAAAATTGAACAAAATTTTTTTTTCCAAAATCAATTATTTTGTTAAGACAAGCAGAAAGTTCTTTGAATCATTTAAATCGGACGCTTAGTTCTCTCAAAAACTGCCATTTTTTACATATTTAGCTCCATATCTTCGAAATGGCTGGGCCTGCCTTTGCCAAAAACTAATAAGCACTTCTCCCAATCATTACTAATTGAATGCTTTTTAGATCATTCAAATCAGATACTCCGTTCTCTCAAAAATTCGATTTCTATTTTCTGCACTCTTTGCTCCGTATCTCCGAAACGGCTGGACCTGCCTTTGCCAAAAACTAATCAGCTCTTTTCCCTATCAATAGGAATCGAATGTTTTTTGAACCATTCAAATCGGTTGATCCGTGCGCCCTAAAACGTGACTGGAAATTTGTATCCATACATACATACACACACACACACACACACACACACACACACACACACACATCCATTTTTTCTGAGGTATGCCAAAACGTTCAAAAACCTTCAAAACGTCGAGAAATGTTAAAATTTTCAATTCCGATTTTCGGCCCATTACAATAACTTACCCTACGGGAAGTTAAAAATTAAATTAAAAATTTATTTTCCACAAAAAAATTCAAGCTAATTTTTTTTTGAAATTCTGTAGTTCTCCGAAAGAGCTGTGACACTACTAATACCGATGTTGTACACAGCTTTGATATAAACTGGCATGTTAATATCGTTACATATTGTAAAAAATAAAATAGTCTGCATTAAAACCTATATTTTATAAATTTTTTCAACAATATCTAGTTAATGTAGTCATTCCCAGATTGCTCGAGGAAAGTTATGAGTCGTCAAACAAAAACCGTGTTACAAGAAAACCGTGGTAAAAGAATACCGTGTTAAAAGGATACCGTGTTAAAAGAATATCGTGTTAAAAGAATACCGTGTTAAAAGAATACCGTACTAAAGGAATACCGTGTTATAAATATACAGTGTTATAAGAATACCGTGTTATCAGAAGGTTTTTGCAATTGTATCTACGCGTAATATGAAAATCGCGTTTCCATATACCGCGTTATCAGAAAATTGAATATATAACTACTACTTATATACGTGTACATGTATAGTGCATACATATATACATACATATGTATATATATACATATCTATGCATACATGTATAGATACAAACAACGTACATACATACATACATGCATGCATATATTATATATTACATAATGTGAATATGTATGTATGTAAATATCTACATACATATATGTATGTATATACATATTTATATAATTCTGATAATAGGTATTATTGGTCTAATCTTGCATTAAGCAAATTGATATATAAAGCACTATGTAGTCTTGTATATATACATATAATTGTATGTATGTCCGTATGAATATTTTTTTATACATACGCATACTATACAATTATATGTATATAACAAATTAAGATAATAGTGTGAGTGATGAGTATTCAATAGTAATATTTTCCTAGTAATTATGTACAATATTTTGTATTAATTTAATTTATGTAGTTTATATATACATATATATTACTGTAGTAATATATTTATAACTAATTATGAAAATTTATTGCAATTGACTTAGAGCTCTATAAAATTATGCATGTATGTAAGTGCATACATACATACATACATACTTACATACATACATACATACATACATACATGCATGCATAGGACATATATACATACGCCTACATATATATGTATGTATGTATGTGTGTATGTATATATGTATGTATGTATGTAGGTATGTATGTATGTATGTATGTATTACGCTTCTCGTATAGGCTTGTTTACAAAACCATGATAAAAAATAATGATTTAAACCCAAGCTGAAGTTCTGATTTGCTCGCATTCGACCTCCTTCTGGTTTCAACATATTAACAATCCGACAATCCAAGTCGTTCAGTTATTTACGATTCATTAATGATATATTTACATAGTTTGTTCGTTATTTATCTAATGTAAAGCGTTTAATAAAAATTGATTATTGGCGTAAAACGTTATCTTATCAATAGGAATGAGTCACTAACTCGCTTGCATGAACGAGCAAGTTATTTATTTATTATATTATGTATGTGCATCTGTGATTTTAGCGAAAACAATCCCTATTCTATAATAATTACTTCGTTTATCTTTTATCTTTTATTAGGTTCTGTTTAGTTTTAGATAATTTTAAGAAGCTTAGTAAGAAATTTTACGATCTGTCATCTATAAGAATCGACGCTAGTAGAGGACAGTTGGGCATGACGACGATGCAACAGGCCGGATATCCAGTTGTGCCCAACCTTTTTAGATAGGAAACTAATTTACTGCCTAAAACGGTTAAACGCAGTAAAAGGATTTATTCAGAAATAGTTAACTGACACAGTTTTTACTATATCAAAGATAGAAACCAGACGTAAGTGGAAATTTGCATTAAAACAAGTTGCATTAATTTTCAACTTGTTTCAAATTTGATGTGTGTAAATTAATAAAAATTGAAATTTAGCTTAAAAATGAAGTTTTCAACTGTTTATTATGCACAAAACGTATTCTCTTTCTTAAATGAGAACTAATCAATTCGACTTCCAATTGATATCCCTTAGACAAAATTATAATATTTGCAATTTTTTAATAAGATATACTCTATTTAATAGTAGAAGGCAACAGTAATCAGTACGAAGCATAGAATGTAAAGGCATATGCCCAAAGAACGCGATTGATTATTCCAAAATTTAATGAATACTTATAATGAAAAATTTAATGAATACTTAAAATGAAACTACTTGTAAACTATTTCATCTAAAAAGCCAACATTTTTTTAACAATTAATTACAAAGAAACGTTCCAGCTGATTCTTCACATATATATTTTATTTAATTTTGGTATCAAACGATTCAGAATAACTAGTCGATAAATGGCGAAATAAAATGTGTTAATCGCAATTATTGGAGCTAAAAAATTGCAGTTGAAAAATTCAAGAAATTTTAACAATTTGTTTTGAGAAAACTTCTATATGTCTTTAGGATATTAAACATATTTGATATAAGATTTAATACGTTTTACACACAAAACTAGGAGTATCTAATTTTTAGTAATAATTTATTTATACTTAATAGCACAAATAATTGTAGTACTTATTTATTCAAATAAGTCAAAATAAAATCAGTTTTAATACAAAAAATAAGAAAACAAGAGAAAAAGAGCAATATAATAAAATTATTGTAATACATAAAATAATGAAATAAACAATCAAATCGTAGTCAATAATAATAATCATTATAGATTTGATATTTAAATGAACAAGATATGAATGGAAAAATGAACTCTACACGATTTTCAAAAATTTAATAATAATAATTATATATAATAATAATATTATATTTAAATATTAATTTTGAAATTTAAATTAGATTTTAATTCAAATTTTGTCTATAATTTATACAGTGTTTTCATCCAGCATTTATGTAAAAAAAACTTATATATGCTCAATGGGATATTTGTTTAAAAACAATTAATAATATTAAGATATTAACTAAATTCGCAAATAATCACGTAGTATTTCCATAGTATACGAAATTTGAGAACAAGAATTACGTTGGCAATATTATACATGAATTGGTTTCAAATATTATAAAATTACAATATTATTATTGTTTGTATATTTTATTTTCACATATTGAATATATTTTGATATAACTTTATTCGTTGATAAAAATTAAATTGATGTAGGATTTATAAATTTAATGACAATTGTCTTTTCAAATTCGTTAAAATCAAAACATGAATTTAAGACCAAACTATATTAAATAAAATGAAAATAACAAACATGTAATAGTAATTGTATGTCCACTTTTAAATAATATTTCAGTTATAATTAAAATCAGAAAGAAAAAAATAACAATTTTTAGAAAGAAATTGTAACAAAATACTTCTAAGAAAGCATAATTTTTTTCTACGAAGGTTAAGAATTATTTACTAGTGTTAGGTTGGGCACACCTGGCACAAACGCATGCGTCATTGCGATACTATTTTGATAAGAGAAAACAATCTTATAAATTTTGAGAGACTTTTGTTATAATCTAAAAGTTTACTTTGAATGAGAAATGATTCTATTTGTGTGTTTGTCGAATTTGATTTTGTCAAATGGGATTTGAATCATTTCTAATAGCGTTTATTCTTATAAAATGAGTATTTTTTATCACTACAAGAGCTTTATCGATATTTTTAACGTTAGATATATTTATATATATCTTTACTTATATCTAACTATGTACAGTTTTTTTATAATAATAATTTTAGAAAAAAACACTTAAAAATATGTAACTTATTTGTTGAATATACGCGCATAGCAGCATTAGAGGCTTCTTATATTCTTATATATTTATATACATATATAAATGTATATATATATATATATATATATATATTTATATATATAGTTTATATATCTCTTATATCTAATATTAATATCATTATGGCAGGCTTTGATCAAATTAACTAGCATTTGACAATAGAATATTTTAATAATTTAATTAATCCAATCGATTATCGATTTATAATATTGTAATTATTTTTATCTAACTTTGCATATTGTAAATTCGTTCGTTCTTTGTTCCAAAATTCGGTTACTCAGCAAAAATCCAAACTTACCAGTAAATCAATAGCACCATCTATTGTTTCATACAGACACCAGAAAGGTTCATATTTCTTCTCTTATTTTAGTTTAGGCTTGTAAGGCCTTAATAACGTTTTAGGATACATTATTTCCTGACAATATCTGATATTTTCATAATTCTGTTTCCCATGTTTCCTAATACCAATGCTTAGATTTTTCCCCGAGTAATATTTGTTTCATAGATGGAGCCAGATATAGTTTCACTACCATTTCTATTTTTTTCTTGAATCAATGCAATGTCGGTTACAGGTAGTCACGTTTTCGCCTAGAAGGTTGATCACTTGTAGTTGTTTCGTCCAAAAGTCTTGCAGATTCTGTAGGACTACTTGGTTGACTATCTGAAGCCACTGTAAGCAATAATAAGAAGATTATTTATATAATTTTATAATTTAGAGGTTTTTGTTGTATTAACACGTTGACTGCGATTGTCGACATCCTTCTTTCCAAAACTTCATATTTTACATAAATTGAATATGATATCAAGTTAAGTGGTTACACCACTGTAGCAGTAAAAAAACGTATGTTCTTGCCATTTTTTTTCGGACGGAAGGAAAAGTATTAAAATCATGATATTAAAGATAGTTATTTATTGCACTTTAGAGTAACAAAATGAAATATAATTGTAAAAAAAAAATTAAAAATGGCGGTACCACAGCATGGTAGTATGTTCTTTTTACTATTCGTTCATTTTTATTTCTCATTTGCATAAGATTTGGCATGTTTGGTGGATTACTCGTATTTCTGGACTTATTGCTCTCTTAAGTCTTTTTCTAAATAATTTTTTTTTATAAAAAATCAATTTACCACTACTTTGGGCCTGTTGTCTGGATGTCCCGCTCGACGCAACTATGGTTACCGGTGAGGTTATACCCATAACCGACGTCATGGTGACGGGTGACGTCAGAGTGGCGATGGATGAGGTCGCTGCCGAAGTCGCTCCGGAGCGCTTCGATCGTCGCTTCCTTAACACTAAGGGTCCTAAACGCGTTGTACTAGTACTGGATTGGTCTACTGGAGATTCTAAAAAATATATTTTTTTTTCAAATTATTTACATAAGTTATCGTAAAGGGGCTAGAAACGTTTTCAAAACAAGAACTTTAGGCAAGCTGATTTTTGGTTATGTGGCCGTTGATGCTCTTTTGGTTAGAGTAAGGGCCATCATCATGTCAAAAAGATAAGTAAAATTCTAATCCTGAGTTTGCAATTGATTTTTGAATAAATTTTTATCCAAAACAGATTTTAGTGACTTAAAGTGATACTTTGTAGTAGTCATAAAATGTATGTGAATGATAAATTATTTTACCTATAGGTTCAGGAGAGGGTTCGCTTTTTGTTTCGCTTTTGTTCAATGATATTAATTCGGCTAGAAGTTCTTCAAGACGGGACATTCGACTCGACAGTCTTTGTACTTCCAGTTTTACATCCGTCTGTAACCAATAATAAAAAAATTCAACTGATATTCAGTCAATGAAAAATCAAGTTCGAAAAAACTCCAAAACTATGTTTGGAAACATTTTTGCAAAAAAAAATCTTCATACCCAAATAAATTTGGATGGTTTCATGTAGTATTGTATCTCTTACCATTATCGTTTCATTTACAAGTTTACCTTAATTTCTAATAATTGTGCCATAACTTCTCTATGTTGTTGCGAACACAAAGGGGGCGCCTGTACAAGGGTAGTTTGTATTGGCATTTGTGAATTTGGCGAAGGGGGTTCCCTCAATCCACCGTCATATACTTCTTGACTGCGGACAACTGGTGGACGATCACGCAAACCTAAGATATTATTTATAATTCATTAATACAACAACCATACCCTTCATATGATTTTAATTAATCAAATATGATTAATCCAGTACTAACCGTAATGTTGAATGGTATCCTGCCTTGTTAGGTTTAAGGCGTCTCTGGCTTGTGAAACCTTTGGGGCTTTTGGAAACACCTGCTTTAATATTAAAAAAGATCCATATAAATACTGAATGAAATTATGTGTTGTCACCACAGAAGATAACTTAAGTGTAGTGGATTTAATAGTAAACTGTGGTGCATTGGTTTTGGAGATATTCTGAAAATTTGTTTTCCTAGGAAAGTCCGGGATTCTGCATTAACTGATCTTTGAATTGAAAACAAGTTTGTGAAGTGGATGACCGGAATGAATAGCAATCAATAATATGAGTGAAATAAGGGTTTCTTAAATATATATGCAATACCCAAATATATACAAGAAAAACAATATGTTCTGTTCATTCTGACGTCGACCCATCATTTTGATGGATTAACAATAGGCAAAATTTTTCAAGTACTAATATTGAGAGAGTAGAAGCTTCCATAAATGATTTGATTGAGATTGGAATTAAGAAAAAAGCACAAAATTAAATCCTGGATTTTTGTTCTAGGAGATAATCATGGAGTCGAAATCTACCTTATTACTTTTGCTGGAGTTGCACAATTTTAACATTTCCAGAATATCTCAAATTCAAATTTTAAATCCCTTTTTTATGTCTTGGAGTAATTATTATTTTTGTATTACATAAATCCACATACTAATATTGCATACATTTTAAAACATCAAGAAAGTATACAGAAGATAGATTCCAGACATATATATACCCATTATGGAGGGTCAAATTTTTTGGCCATCATAGGAGCATTATGCTATTATTGTTCTATGGATAATTTAAAAAACCTTACCAAAGAAACAATAGTTAGGATGAGCATTTTTAGCCAGCGAAAATTTCAATAAAGTTTTTTTTACCAAAAATGCTCGCCCATTATTATTTATTGGGCTTCATACAGTTTGACCCGCCCTAATGTGTATATATATATATATATATATATATATATATATATATATATATATAAAGAAATTTTATGGATTTAGGTGCTTTGAGATCAGTGCCTATAGAAAAGCAACGATATAATGACAGTGCCGCTAAAATCTAGTGCTATATATGTATATATACACATATATACATGTATATATATACATATATACATATAAACGAGTCGCATTGCTAGTAAATCACTAAGACAGACAGAAATTAAACAACATAGTTATAGTTGCTGAAAAGTTGAAATTATAATAGAAATATTTTCAGTCATAGATAGAAGAATTAGAAACCACAATATTTATCATCACAACACCCATTCAGTATAGTGAGAGAAAAAAGCTTTGAAAATTATAATGCAAATTAAAAATAATTTTACAAGTGTAGAACCAATTTATACTTGTTTATCTATGTATAGAACTAATGTGTGTTTCAAATATTCCTACAAGAAAATCGTCTGTGTAAATATAATAAGTTTGGAATGTTTGAAGAGTATGTATTTAGTGTATCATGTTTTTTTACAAAATGCGTTGTTCTATCTAAAATGATATGAAATTAAATACAAATTGATATATTTAATCTCCGTGCCTGCCACTATTGTATATTGGTGATTGTACAAATCATATTTATCTACTCTAAATTACAGAGTATTGCACATCCTCTCGTATGTAAATATTTTGCTTAGTGTCTTACCAATTTATGAGTAATAATTTGTTGCCAATTTTAAAGTATGAAGAAAAAAATAGTACGATATAAATAAATACATTGCCTATGAAGGAATTTAAATTTTATTCAAACTTAAGCTCGATTTTTAGAAGTTTGAAGTGACAGAATTTCAGTTGCTTCTTTACCTATCAATGACTATTTTCAATTTAATAAGTATACCAATTAGTTTAATATTTTTGTTTTATATTTTCCAGGGCGTAACGACCCCAAAAGTGGCAAAGCATTTCATATGAATATTGTGTTAACATTCTATATTAAATACCTACTAAATTCTAAACCCGGCTAAATTCTAAAAACTATTCTATTGATGACTGAATTAGAAAACTATGTTAAGGCAATTCTGCCGTAATAGCTGAGGGTTTTAATGGGAGGGGGGTTTGACAAAAAATCACGAAATATCACCTGGGGGAGAAAGGGGTATAGTAAGATATCACATGTATTTATTTTTTACCGGATTTTTTTCCAATAATCCAAACATATTCAAAAAAAAAATCAAAAATTTTACATTTTTTTCTCGTAACTAAAAATACACGTGATGTTTGGTGGGAGAGCGTGAGTAAATTTGAATATCACCACGTATCACCAAGAGGGAGGGGGGGTCCAAAAATTCTTAAAAAATCGATCACGTGATTAACGGACGCCCCCTAATAATAAGCGTTGCTACGGTAACGCTATGTTATGCTTGTTTCTTGGTAGTAAAAACTGTGATAATGCTATCTATTTGCTGTGGTATCAGACAGAATGTTATGATAATACAGCAATTAGATGAATATTTGCCAAGTTTTTACTACCAAGAAACAAGCATAATATAGCGTTACCATAACAACGCTATCTTATCGCCTATGTTACGGCAGAATTGACCAATTAGTCCTCACCCAAACGACTGGTTTATATTTGCATCTCAATCTCTGAGTTCAATTCGTTTGCCTTATCTCATAAATATGACAAATTTTTGAAGCCAAAAGTTGAATATTGAGAAGTATAATGCCCAAATGAAAGAATTATTAGATGTGACATCGCCCAGAATATAGTTGATGAACATAACTACCAGGGTTGACACTGTCCCGGAACGTCATGGACAATTCTTTGCCAAACTTCTAAATTTCGAAGTTAATTACAAAGATTTGGGTAATTAATAAAGTTTTTTGGGTTAATTCATAAAGTAATTTGAATTATGTTTTTTATATTCAATTGCATTCAAAATAAACGTGATTTTAACAGGCTGTGAATAATGATACTTATATATGACTTTGTTACTTTAAGAATGCTATTAGACAGCAATTCAATCCCTAAAACCCGTACTGTACATTATAAAAAGACAACCTTAAGGGCATCCTTTCTAATTGTGTTATTTTAGCAATGCCTTAAAAAGATATGTTGAAACATATTCGGGTCTAAATTTTCATAATAAAAATGGCAAATTATATTCGAGATCCGGAACATCTACTTAGGAAGCGAAGCGCATTTCAAAGCGCTACAAATTTCCTATATGATGTTAAGGAGGACTTTTATATAGAAAAATCAATGGTTGATGATAATAAGACATTGTCAAAATCCAGAACCCATTACTTTGTGGCCCAGGATGTTTCAGATTTAAAATCATATTTTTTTGAATCATACTTTATAGAAAAGCTTTGGTGTATGAATAAAAGCATTTTCAAGTGCAAAAAGGTGCTAAAAAGTATGTGTGTGTGTGTGTGTTTTAACAGCAATCAGCATCAAGTGTTCTGTGAGCTGTGTTTGCTATAGTACATCCTTAATTAGTATTTTTCTTGAGAGGGCAACCCAGCGGTCAACCACTCTTGGTTTTTATATATTTTAGATATGTATATCTAAAAGTTGGCCTATTTATGTTTTTTCGAAATGCAATTTTGTAGCAATCCCTTCGAGGCAACTTGATTGTACTTGATGTTTATAACCTCAAGTAGAAATTTGATATCATATTGCTTGATATCGTACTGGCAGAGGTTGGAATCTGACCCGAGATTAGTTTGTTTAACCCACGTTCTTAACCATTAAATATAGTATTGATTTCTTAAAGCGGTCAGAGAATTTCATTTTCTCAAATCTCCTATATTTTTAGTCACTCAAGCATGATTACTGTGCTTTAAGTGCTCAAGCGTGATTATTGTTTTCCTTTATATGTTTTTTAATTACTACTTTGTGTTTAGAATTGTAAATTACAATAATAACAATAAGGTGATGCTCTGTGTGTAATAAACTAAAAAACCAAACATAAAACACTAATATGAATTGATAAAAAAACAATTGTTATTTGTTAAATTGCAAAGTCCACACAATTTGTCTCGACTTACTAGCAACGAGTCTCGGCGTTGTCTCGGTTTGCTTTGGTTCTTCTCCTTACTATCTTCGCAAACCTTCATGAATGAACAATATAATATTTATTTAATACATCATCCTATAGTATTATATAAAAAATAATTATTTTATATTTGTCATTGTTCAGCCAATTGTTGTTCCGCGATTTCATATAAATAATAATAATGATAATGACTCAAAGTACCCTAATTATGAATTCTACGGATAAAAAGTCATGCAGAAATATTCCGTCAAAATAATTTTAGAAAATGCAGAAGCTATTTCAAATTCCATTCTTTCTTATTTACATTACATTTTAATTTTAATTTAAATTGCTTGGTCATACCTAAAAAAGTAAATACGAAAAAAATCGTAACTAATAAGTGACATGCTAAGATTGTGCCAATAACATCACCTTGTTTGTTTGTCCTTTCTTTTCGCCCCCAGTACCAGCAGCTGGGCCTAAAAATATTAGGAATGAATAAAATAATAATTGAAACAAAATTTATGTAAATATGTTTTTTCCTCCGGAGTCATATTATTATTCTCATTGACATTTATATCAATTTGTAAATAAGTCTTGCAATAAACAAAATACAGAAAAATATTTACTAGATTTTTTAGCATTTTTTTGAATTAATTGATTACCTAAATGATTATTACTCTGCAAAAAACGTATTACCTTAAACAATATTCACAAATTCTATGCGATTTTTTTTAGAGAAGTAAACAATTGATTCTAAGGGCATGAAATGTGTTAAAAGTTGCAATAAAGTCTAAGAGATAAAAGAAAATTAAATATTTGTCACTCCCTTGAAGGAAAGCGCTTTCAGATTTCGATCAACGTAAAGTTACTTAGAAGAAAAAAGACGATCAGAAATAGTGGAATTAGTTCATAAATATTGTTAATTCGCCAAATATTATGTGGAGAGACAATTAAATGATTTTATATAAGTAGACTATATTTCAAATACTTCTAGAGAGAATTAAATAGAGAGGAACTTCTTCAAATGCCTTTAATATTACTATTTACTCAGCAAAAGTGTGATATTTAGGTAAAACATATGATATAAAGCGGCTGATTCTGCCATAAAATAGACCAATGTTATGGAAGGCTATGTTATGTAGCGTTTTTCATATAAAGTGGTACTAATAACTGTAAAAATCCTATATGGTTGCTGTGCAGCCAGGCCTTTTAGACAGAAAACTTAGTCTAGAAAACGCTTGTATGTACTCAAAGGTAGGCATTTCTATAAAAAGGGAACATTATGGAAACGTTCATAGAATTTTTATTATTCAACCCTTTTCGCAGGCCTCTAATATTTTAGAATGTCCGTTTCGATAATAGGTTCCCAAAGGTTTTGTGCCGTGAACCCCTTAGGCTTTGTCATGGACAACAACCGACATAGATTTTTTTTTATAAATTTATAACTATACTGAAGTTTATTATCAAATATTTCAAATAAAAATACATATTACTTTCACACATTTATTAAATAAATTTAAAAAATGTTGTTGATGAGCTAAAAACTTATATGCACATTTTTTCAGTTCAAATTTTCTAGTTGAAATATATTGGCAATCAAAACATTTTTAAAAATCCGGGACAAATATTGCTTGAGGAAAATCGGGACTGTCCCGGCCAATTCGGAATGTATGGTCACCTTATTAAAATGGAAAATATTTTTTAGGCAAGACAGATATTACTGCTGTTCAAAGAATGAGATTATATCACCAGCAAAGTTCTTCGAACACTAATATTATATGATAAAATTGTGAATACAATATTTGTTTAGGCGTCGTTTAACATAATCTACTGCGTGAACAAATATTATAGAAGTTATTATTCAGCAATTACTTCATTTCTCTAATGAAGGTTCATTTCTAAATGCTAATTACAATGACAAACCGATCAAGCCATATTTGAAGTATAAAGCCAAACTTATATACATTATATAAATGTTATTGACACTAATAAATGTGTGCATCACGAGTGTTACCACATTACTAATAAACATTATTCAAAATTGTTATATGAAGTATTCATTTTTACTTAAATGCCATCTTGTACAGTAGCAAATAAGTTTTACTTCAATCGCGTGTGAACCTTGCGCGCACTCTTTGTTCACAACGAAAGGCCCGGCCGATCTTTGGCAAAAACTAATCAGCAAGATTCTCTAATAATTTTTTCCAAATGGGTTTTAAATTTTCATAATCGTCTGAGGATATTTTGCGAAAACGTTGACAAACCATATTGCACTTTTCTACTAATACTACACATTACCTCCTCCTGATTCGTCGCCTCTTTGCCTCGCCGAACTTTGGCGATCACTTCCTGCGCTGCTTCGGTCACCGCCTCCGCTTGCGGCACCAGAAGTCGAGTCCAGACTTGAGGAACCTAATAGTCGGGACCATTTGGAACCAACGCCAGCCGTTGAGGTTCCTGCGCCCGTTCCACCTCCCGCACCCGTACCTTTTGCAGTTCTCGGTTTCGAACCAGCTGGAGAAAAATTATCATTTATTCCAAATTCCAGAATTAAATTTACTTTCCAAATTCTCAAATAGATGTAAAAAGTATATGTTATAAAAATGAAAAACGCAAATAGCTAAATTCTATAGCCAAGGCCAATCTTCTAGTGATTGGTCTTATATGTGAATATTGATATACTAACCTGTTGCAGTTTGCGGAGGTTGTGATGTAACAGGTGAACTGGCTGTTGAATCGTCTCTCTCTGTACTAAGTTTCGATTGCAAGCTCTTAAAAAGAAAAAATATAATTATTAAATACTGCTGCATTGTAAACTGTGACAAAAAGCTTCTGCTATAACCTGGCGGTTCCAATAAAATTCGGTATAATTAATAGTTGTATAAATAATACAATAAAAAATTGTGACTGACATCTATCAATTCCTGCGAAACGCATATATTTATAAAGATCAGTTACAGATTTAATTAATGTTTTATAAGTAGAATATCATTTATTAAATAATTTAAATGAATATATCAGTGTGCAAATCTTAATTTCGTGAAATTAAGATGATGTGGTCCTTCGAAACAGATTCAAGTCTTTGTTACTTTAAAAGGACATTGCATTTTTTCTGTAATTAGGCATACATTTTAATTCGATACTATAGTTTCGATTTCGATATTATAGTTACTACGTAATTTTTTTTATTATGTATAGGGAAAGTACGGACAAAATAACACGGTGTTTTTACTCGTTATCGGTTTTACTCATCTTAGATTCATTGACTACCAGCAACATAGTCTATTAATTAAGCAGAAAATATAATATTAAGGAAAATGCAACTAATAGTAAAAAAACATTTGTCTACATAGACAGACAATTACTTGCACATTTTAAAATACAATTTTTTTGGAAGATAGTTCACAAATAGATCATTTGGTCCGTTGGGCAAACGAATAATACATCGAAACCAACTTTCGACGGACTAAGAATGCGAATAGATTTCTTTGCAAAAAATGCAAGTCTTTTCTTCTTATCAGTGGATTCTTCTGTTTTTAGAAGTAATTGGAGTTAAAGTCAAAAGCCAAATACCCTTTACAAGTTTTAATTTTTTTCTTGATAAGACTGTGACAATGATGCCCAACACCTTACAGGATTATGATTATGACTTTATTCATCATATACAATCGCAAAAACGTTACTAAACTAGACAATTTTTAAATTAGGACACTGATGCCAACTTCACTAATAAAAGTATATATTTACTATTATTGGTTTATATTTATTACCTTTCCATTCCTCTGCGCACCTCCACCGCCGGTACCACCCGTGCCGGCAACCCCCGTGTCATCGTCAGTGGTGGTTCCTCCACCTTTTTCAGCATCGCCAGTACCCTGAACACTCCTGTCCCTTCGAAATCTCGAGAAAATCTTTCGAACCAGATGATCTTGGGTTTGGTCCAGACGAGGCTCATTTTTGCGTCTTTCTGCCAACTCTCGCTCACGTCGGACGTCTGACACTTTTCTAAAAAAAAATATAGTAAATCGCAGCGCTATAAACAGTATAGTATAATATAATAATAATCTATTATGTGTTGATTTCACATAATCATTATCTTGTGTTTGTTATTTATCAACCAACCTGAATATGAGTCGATGTCTTAAATTATATGTGAGCAGCAAGTTTCTGGCAAAACTGTTGGCAAAGGCTTGGTAGAAGTCCAAAACTTGTAGTAATTTATCACGTTTTATGGTGTGCAAATCGCAGTATGTTAATGCTCGCACATTAGCTGCTGATTGGCCAACAGCACTGTCCTTCCAAAACGAGTCACCAAAAACATCACCTTTACCTAAAAACAAAATATGATTTATGTTCCAAAATGTTCTCCAAATAATAGAACGTGAAAGTATGCAAATATACATATAGTATTATAGTTATAGTATACATAAATAGTTTTAGTGATGTTTATGCTTTTTTTGATATAATGTTGATTAAAAGCAATAAATTTTAGAACGTGGGCTAGCACCAACTAGTCCTAAGTTCGCAGGTTCGATTCCCGCTACCGCCAAGCCTGACATCAGGCAACTTTGATATCAAATTTCCACTTGAGGTTATAGATCTCAAATATAGCCCTCAAGTGAAAATCGCCTCTCATGGCTATAGTTGCATATATAATAAAAATGTCAGCAAATAATTCGAGTATAGATAATTAGTCATAACTGGACTGGACAACTACTGGGTTGCCATCCATTCAAGATTCATATAATAAGAAAAGTCAAAACAATTACTGAATGTCTTAAGTGTGAAAGATTGTAATTAAAATAAAATAATAAAAAAGGCAATAAATTTCATTATTATCTTACCTAAAATAGCGACTACTTCATCATCTTGTATAACTTCTAAACTTCCAGTCACGATAAAGCATAAGGAATCTATACTTTCTCCGGTGTGGTATAAAAGATCTCCAGGGGCACTATGGGACATTGCAAAATGCATAGCCAATGCTCTGCAATGAGAGAAACAATTTATCAAGATTTTTAAAATCTTGCAAATATGGATCTGCATATTTTGAAGTAAAAATTAATATCAGACTGATTGCTTTCTGGTTGCAATACGAACGCCTTAATATTTGATGGCGAAAATTAAAAATCATCAAGTATTTGCCTTGGTTTTAAACATTTACTATATCTTATTATTAACTTATTATTATTATTATTATGGTTACCTTAAACAGCCATCAGAAGCTAATCTGAATGCTGGATGCTCATTGAAGACTTTTCTATTCAGATGCACACAAATATCAGCTTTCATGTCTTTTGGGCAGTAGTTCAAAACCTGAATGAAAAAAATTACAATTAGGACATTATTAACTGTTCCAATTCGTTCAACATATATTTTAAATTTCTGCCAAAGTTGCATTAAAGATCATACACATTGGCTAATTGGTTTCATCTAAGGGATGAAATCTGTTTGAAACTACCATTTGTTCTATTACACTTATAAGTTTCGAATAAAAAACTCTATATTTCAATCGTCTACCTCAATATCTGAGTCGACTTTAAAAAATTTCGAAGTTAAACTTCTTTACCCACGATGGGTGTGAAACAAACACATAAACCGCGACAAAATTTAGTTTTAACTTTTTTTTTTTTTTTTGAAAAAGTATCTATTACATGCACAATTATATACTTACGCGATCTCGATCCTTGCGGCATTTAAAAGAAATATGTTACCGATAGCTTCTATTCAGTGACGTTACTAAATGGTATCAAAGCACATATGAAAGTGCGGCGTTTTTTTTGGCTAATGTCACGTACAAAAATTAAAAAAAAGAGATATCTTAGTCCTTTTTTTAAAAAATACATCAAAATGATAATGAACACATCTCTGGCATATTATTAGTTCTTGTAAAAATACTCCTGTAAACATTTGACCATTATCTGAACTAACAGCTGCACTGATTTTTAAAGTTTAAAAGCCACTCGATGATACTCGATAAAGACTTATTAGTTTTTCGCGACGATCGGCCGAGCCGTTTCTTTATAACTAAATGAGTACAATTTTTTGGCCAAATTTTTTTAAGAGAACGGATTGTCCAATTTGAATGATTCAAAAATCATTTTTCTTACATTGACGAAATGAACAAATGGTGAAATTTTTGGAAAGGCAGGTCCAGTAAAAAAGTAAAAAACAATGTCATTTGGCGGTCAAAAATGGTCATAATGAGATTATAATAATAAGTACAAATTTTGTGTATATTTCTATGGGTTTCGCACCAATGTTTACACGTTAAACTACGACGCGGCGCTTACGCGCTTCGATATTTCAACAAAGCAGCGTGATTGCTTTAAAGAAAGCTTAAACTTTTCAAAAAATTTCAGAATTTAAAAAAAAAAATCAAATTTTTCAAAAAAGTCCAATTTTTTCAAAAATTTCAAAGTTCTCAATTATCAATTTTTTCAGTTTTGAAAAAATTTTAAAGTTTTTTTTAAAAAAATAGTTTTCGGTACACGAAGTTCTAGCAATTTGCCTTACGATGCCATGCATATACTAAAATATATGTATAAAAATATACATATATTTCTAGGTTTTGTCTTGACATTCCTTAGTTGACATGCGCAAACACTTGAACAGACACTTGAGTCGTCTGTGGACACTGTGAAAATACGCCTGGTTGCGCATTCATTTAGTTGCACATATATACAGAAACGTCTGTGGCGGCTTTAGAAAATACGTTAAAATATAGAAGTACAAGTGGTCGTGTAGATTTAGTAGATTATTTACACATGTTGAGAAGTTCTTGCAAAAAAATCTCACATCTAGTTTACTTCAGCATTTTCTTCATTTATTAACTGACATTTTACATATTAATTTTTTTCATCAATCATAGTTTGGAATGGGGATGTATCAATCAGTAAAGGCAAACCCTATTGTCAAAGTATGAGATTTTGATTGTAAAAATCATTTTTCTAGAGAAAATGTTCTATAATTATTATTTTGATGTAAATTGTAAAAAAGGACTATCAAATATCTCCCTATTAAAATCTTTGAGATGTGGCATTAGCTCAACTTTATACGCTTTAATGTTACACTTTATTTCATGATAATGAGCGCGATTTTTATTGCTAACACATATTTTCAACAAAAAAGGGAAATTTGATTGCTATCCATTCAAACATACGGATAACAAAATAAATAAAAACTAAATTGTTTATATTTTGAAAACCTAATGTGTAAGAAATTGAAGAGAAGAGATGTTATGTTTGAAACCTATTCATTTTGTTACAAACCTTGTCGGTGTCCAATCCCTTCGTCATTGCCCAGGTGCTGACAACGTAGTCCATGACCCTTTCGCTGAGTGCCTTTGGAACTTCATGGAGTTTCATGAATTCCCTCACATTGTTCAACATGTCGTGGTATTTGGCAGTTGCTGAAGTCATCTGCTGTATTATTGTTGTCACGTGACCAAATATAGTGGCGTATAGTAGTGCTGAAATAGAAAAAAATCATTATTTTTTTCTGGTCGTAGCTTAAACATAGAACAAGGAACATGTGATGGACAGTAACAAACGAGCGATAAAAGAAGATTTTTTTCATATTTTGACAGCAATCAGACCAATGGATGTTTCTGTTGTACATTCCTTAACATAGTGTTTCGAGAAGGCAACCCAGTGGTTAACAGATGTGATTATATAGGATGTATTTCTAATAATGATGTTAGGATATATCTCATCAATGCCCCACAATTGATATCAATGATATGAAAATAACAGAATTCCGCTTGAATGAGATCACAGATCTCACATATGACATCATATCATATGCGAAATCTGAGATCTCATCAGGTTGCCTGTTAACACTACTGATTGATAGCAAACTGGCCAAGGCGAGGATCTAATCCAGAACCAGTGATTGTTACTGGACTCACGTTCTTAGCAGAAGATGGTGTGTGTGTTTGGATACGATACAATACAGTTTGGAGAGCACGGATCTATTCTATTCTATTGATGGTAAGATGTATTGTTTAGGTTTTGGCCAAGAAAGTTCCAGACGCTTTGAAAATATGAGGCAAAAAGTGCAAAAAAATGGCAATTCAGTCTTTGAAAGAACGTGGTATCCGATTAGAATGATTACAGGAGCGTTTTACCTTGCACTTGACGGAGTTGAGGATTGAATACATTTTTGGAAAGCAGGTTCAAGGGTTTTGGACATGCAGAGAAAAAGCTCCAAAAACTGACATTTGATCATTGGACAAAAGCAGCTGCCCAATCAACTTACCTGAAATAAATAAAATAAATTTATCTCACCTGCTATGATCATCATGCATATGGTGAAAACTCGTTCGTTGTCAGTTTCTGCAGCAACGTTTCCGAATCCGACTGAAGTCATGCACGTCATTGTAAAATAAAGTGCAGTGACGTACATAGTTTTTCTCGAAGGGCCGTTTACTAACTCAGGGCCCCCGCTCTCGTTGGACCACACGTATGAGTAAGGAGATTGCGTCACATTGGCCAACTTCCACAACCATGAATATTGAACCTTAGTAAAAAAAAATTAAATCGTTCTAAAACATAGTTATTAATATATGCTATTTATTACTATTATCATTAATGGATGTAAATTTTTTTTATACATTTGTATTGGAATCCTATCATTTTCTCCTAGTGTTTACGATTATATCACTTAGCAGTTTTAGAATATAATTGCAGTGATGTTGGCAACAATCATTTCTAATAGTTATAATTCATTTATTTACCCCATTATCGGCATCCGATCTGCCAATGGAGTACCAGATACAAGCCAGCCAATGTGCTACCAGCATATAGAAGCAGAGCAGCAAAATCAACATAGCAGCACCATATTCCAAATATCTGTCCAGTTTTCGGACAACTCTTCCCAGTCGCAAAAGTCGGACTACTTTCAGGGCACTGAACAGCGAACCTATACCCTGCTTAGTGGAAATAATGTATTAAGTCGATTTTGTAATTACAATTATTTGGAGACACTTGTAGGAGACTATGTGGAATTGGGTTACATCCGATCCAACAATAAGTATTTAGATTTTTGTACATTTGTCAGGATATGTATTGTGTCATCTGGCGACTAATGTACCAGGTGAATTATTATAGGAGAATGTGACTATACCGTTTAGTTTAGACATCATACATGACATCTTAAAGAAGATGACTTTGATCTACTAAGTAGGTATATAACTATGTAGGACCAATCACAAATATAGTCATTATATTGATATTAGGCTGATTCTTTAATATTTACGAGACAGTAAATCTGTACTTGTACTAAATCCCACGAATTTATCAGCTCGATCCCAATAACCTATTATCGATATTCATCAACTTATTCTTTTATGATCTTCTAGTATAATGAATATTGTATGTTCTATTGTCTACTTACATCTTCATCATGATCAAATGCATTGAAGACATCGTATGGCAAGCAAGATAATAAGTCTATAACGAACCAGCTTTTCAAATAGTTCATTCTAATTATTTTTGGATCACTAACTACTTCACCTCCTGCAAAAATAATACAATTTTAATAAACATTATTAAAGGATTCAATTTCTATATAGGAGATAGGAAAGATAGTGATGGTTAAAACATACGGAACAACTCTGAGTAAAAAAATTAATAAATAGAAGGTAGATGTTGTGAACAATTAGTGTATATTACTTACCCGGGCCAACAAATGTGGTGTGAAAATTTAATACGATATCTATAAAAAATATAACATCGACTATGGAATCCACCACTAGTAATGAAACATCTTCTGATGTTTTGTTTTTGAAGGCTACGTTGTATGGTACCTAGAAAATTGATCAAATATGAATGCGCTCTTCTACAAAAAGTGGAAATGTGAAGAATTTTCAATATGACACAAATTTTGCCCATAAATTATTTAACAAATTTCAAACTTTGGTAAATGCATGTAAAGTTGTGCAAAATGTATTGCATAAACTGAAATAATTAAAATTAAATAAGAAAGTGAACCCTTTTAGATAATCATTTTCTTGTGGAAGTGATAAGATTTCATAATGTTTTACCATAATGGCTGTATAAAATGTAAGACATAAAATGATCCAGTCCCATATTGCTTTGAAGGCGCAGTAGTGTAACAATATATGAGGAGGTGTCTTTGGAGCTTCTTGTCGGTATTGAGGCATCACATCCGCACTCAAAGACATCATCTACAAACATAGAATTTGAAAAAAAAAACATTAATTAAAAATCGTTATTATTTGAATATATAAAATATTATTTTTCTCTAATAATCACAAAAAACAATAAAATAATACCAGTGCTAAGTGATTTTCCAGTCAGAAAATTTCGACTCTTAAATTTTTTATTTCAACAAATTTATAGCATTCTGTATTCTTTTTAAATCATTTTAAATTGTTGGACACCAAAAGTTGAAAACATATTTTGCCAAAAATGAGCGTTTTGCCGTCTTTTTCTCAAAAAAGGCTGCATATAAGCCGCTGCATTAGATGAAGTTAGCGTTGATTATCCGTTATCCGTGCTTTATCAGATCATTTATTACATATGTTTTATATCTTCTGTCCAAAGTCTGTGTATATTTTTTATTATCTGTCTTTGTACATTTTTGCAGCTTTGTGTTCCCATAAAGAATGAAAAAACTATCTTTATGAATAAATATTCCGTTAACATTCCATCATGTAATTCATTGCACAAACTGAGTCGCAGCTCATGCATCGTATTTATGATTTATCCGGATTTTTCTACCACGTAGCTAAATTTAAATAAAAATCTCTCGCTGCACGGATTATCTTTATAGTTGATTTTATAAGCCTTCAGGACAACGAAGGATTTGGAAATATATAAATATACTTTACAATATAATCTATTTAATAATAATTTTTTCAGCAATTATGTAAATGGTAAAATACAAAAAACATATAAAAACAAAAAAATATATCGCCTTTCCGATTCGGGTCCATGACTAAAAAGGTCCACCACCGATATCTCAAGAACAAGTAAAGTTAGGACTTTCTTAACAATAATATTTGAAAGTAGAGGGAAAAAATGTATAACCAACTCCCACCTTGATTTATACGACATTGCTGTCGGAAGATAAACGGCAATGTTTGAAAATCAATAACAAAAGTATTATGTGTAGTGGTTAGTTTTTTTTGTTGTGAGCACTGTTGTTTAGTTTAGGAAACCCTAATATAATTTAAGTATACCTTATATAATTGTTGTATAAAAATTGTTATTTTTAAGGTAGATTCAACAGTTTTTATTCATATAACCTCTATAAAAGCTTACGTGTGGGTAGGATAAAAAGGACCAAATAAACCTTCACCTTTGCAAAAATGTAAATAATAAACTAGTGGCATTGTGCTTCGGGACATATTGCTGGAACTTTCCGTTCCGTAATAAAACATATTAAATGTTTTCAAATAGATTATTACAAATACTGTAACTTTCGTTATTCGTATTTTATAGACAAAATAGAAAATAGAAGAGCTTATGAATTGGACGAAGACATTTACATAGAACTAAATGAAGGGGAATTAGAACGAATGATCTTGTCTCATATTTCTAATAACAATTTAAATTGAATTGCTAAGTTAAAATTATTCATTTCAAGTATATAAGTGGGCTTTAGATTATTAGCTAGAATTAAATTTAATATCCAAATTATTTTTGATATTCAAAAAAAATATTTCTTGGAAGTAAAAATAAAATTTAAATAGAGAAAAAAATGTTTGCGTTTCCCAAAAACAATCGTTTCGTCAATACAAGCAAAAGGTCTTCATTCTCTAGAAAATTACCATCTTTTGCACATTTAGCTCTTAATCTCCAAAACGGCTAAACCTGCCTTTGCCAAAAACTAATCAACACTGCTCCGCATCAGTAGGAATCGGATGCTTTTTCAATCATTCAAATCGGATGCTCCGTATTGTCAAAAACTCTATTTCTATTTTCTGCACTCTTTGCTTAGTAGCTCTGAAGCCGCTGGACCAACTTTTGCCAAAAACTAATCAGTACGTCTCTTTATCAATAGGAATCGAATCGTTTTTGAATAATTCAAATCATACATACTACAGGCACCTATACACAGACACACACATCAATTTTTTCTCAGATATGAAGTGAAATCTCTCAAACATGAAGATATGCAAAAAAAAATTCTATTTTTTGCCAAATACTATAACTTTTATTATGGGAAATTAATGAAATAGTAAATTAAATTGAGAAAAGCAATTTTATAACAGATAAGTTAAATTATTACTTATTCTAAGTATGCTGATGATTATTTCTGACGAAATACTAGGGTCAAAGATTGTGTACAGTGTTCTCTCTGCAAAAAATGTACCCATAAAATTTATATTTCGCATTGGTTGAATAATAAAGCTATTATTTCCTAATATTCCTTTAAAATTAAAAATAAGACATTGTGTCTGTTTGCCCGATGGCTGTCCCTTTCTAACCTGCCGATGGGGTAAAAAGAACCAGGTGACAAATTTTTGGAAAACATAAAATAAACATATGATAAATTAGCTGACCTCTATTAATTCTTGTAGCTCTCCTACAAGTGAGAACTGAACATAATCAGATAGTTGTTTGTTTGTTATATGTGTTATTTGCTGTGATATATTATATATATATATATATATATATATATATATATATATATATATATATATAATTGGTTTGGTTTTCACAATATATTTGCCCAATGTCAAATTTGGATCTTTGTGCCTCGCTTTATCCTATATGTATATATGTATATTAAGGTGGTCCTTATTATGGACGTTTTCGAATTTTCTTGCTCCCAAGGGCTCAAATGGTTTCAAATTGATAAAAATCAATTCTCTGAAAGTTTTAGCTCTAAATATTAACTTTTAGATAGAGCGCAATTCAATCAAAGTTCTGTATGGAATTAGCATGAAAAAATTTTGAAATTAAAAAAAATAATTTTAGGTATAACTTAGCGACAAATGAATTAAGTGAAAATTTGTGTCATTTTTTATTGAAAATTCCACGCTCTGCAAAATTTTTGAAATTTTTTTTATGCTATTTCCATACAAAACTTTGATTGAATTGCGCTCTATCTAAAAGACAATATTAAGAGCTAAAATTTTCAGAGAATTGTTTTTTATTAATTTGGAACCATTTGAGCCCTTGGGAGCAAGAAAATTTGAAAATGTCCATATTAAGAACCACTCTAATGCATATACATAGATATGTATAAATATATAGTTTGGCATTTGTGCCCGTGTAGTGTTATGTGTGGTAGATTCGCGTGAGCTAGACTCGAACTAGAATCTATTCGGTGAATAATCGATGAGGCTCCTATCGTTGGGCGCTTTTAAATCTTTTATAGCATCCGATCGTATCGTCTTCGCAAAATGGGAAAAAGCGAAAAAGCGAAAATACTTTTGCATCTACGCCATCGGCCGAAAAAATCTTCGCCAGGTGTACCTATTCAATAATTTACCAATCGCTACTTCCCCGAAAATAAAGCAAAACGAGAACAGATTGCAATCTTATTGCAGACCATTTATTTTTAGATCGTCTACAAAGAGCTTTTTAAATGTTTTAGGATTATGGAAAAAGATTTGCATGCAATTTTGTTTTTATGTTTTGTTGTATTAGGGCGAGGGAATTTGCGAATCTATATCGGGAAAAATGTGTAATTGATATATTGAGTTCTCCAAGATCATATATAGTAATCAAATGTGAATGAATAAATAATAGATTATATTTATCCAAAGAACAGTGATGTGGTGATAGGTTATCAAAATTGTGTAAGAATTTTACTTTTTATTTAACAAAAATTTCAATTACATGAAGCATCGATAAATTGTTCTAATTTTAAGTGAAATTGATATTACAAAAACTTCATATTTAATATTATCATAGATTGAGAAAGGAGAATTATTTGTGCAAATGACAGAAATGATCTATATATAAGGTGCGATTTTCAAATCCATATTAATTCTAATTGGATAGATAGAATTATGAATGTAAAATAAAATCCTTCACTCATTTAATTGTGAATGGCAACGTGTTAAAATTCAATTATTGTGAATAAAATATGAGTGGAATAAAAAATACAATTTCGTAGCACTGATAATATAAAGATGCCTGTATTGGAAAAATAATGAAATAATTACGAATTGAGAAGCATTCATTCATTGATTATCATAGTATAATAAGAAGCGAGGCAAAAAGGTCCAATTTGACTTTGAGCAATTATATTGTGAAAATCAAACCGATTAACATATATCACAACCAATAAGACATAAACAAACCACAATCTGACTGTGTTCAGTAGAACTTTCAGATAATTCATCATAAATTCAACAGAAACGTTTTATTTGGTGTTTTTCAAAATTTTGCCATCAGGTCCTTTTTACCCCATAGGCGAAAAATGTAGCGGCCAAAGGACATTAGGTTCAATGTCTTAATTTAAAATTTTAAAGGAATTTTACGAAATAACTACTACATTTTTCAACCAATGTAAAATACAAATTTCATGGGTACATTTTTTTGCACTGATAACACTGTATATAACCTTGATCTGGTATTTCTTCAGAACTATTCATCAGCAGCGTTGAATTAACTATTTATTTAATTTCTCTCTTGTTAAATCGCCTTTTACAACGTTACTTTTTAATTTACTATTTTTTTAGTTTTACACCTTTTCCAGGTTAAAGGTTCAGTTGTTTTTTTTATCCCACTTAAGTGCGAGCTTTTATTGAGGTTATGTAAAAATACTGTTGAATTTAACATGAAAATAACAAGGTACATCTAATAAATGAATTAAATAACGTATACTTGAAAATTATGTTAAGGTCTCATAACCTATACAACAGTGCTCACAACCAAAAAAGTAATAACGAAAAAAATAACTTTTGTTATCGATTTTCAAACATTTTCATTTATCTCCCGGTAGCAACATCGTAAGAATCAATCATCATCGTATTGTTGTTAAAAAATCCTTAAATTTGCTTAGGGCGGTAAATTCTTTTATCTGGGGTAAAACGTTCCTCTTTACCCTATTTTTTTTAAAAACTACCTTTTTAATATTCTTCTAACTTTTTATACAATATTAACATGTGATATTAAATTTAATTAAATATTACCTAATTATGTTGAAGTATTACTTGACAAAAACAACTTGACATTTTTTTTTAAATTTATTTAATTAATTTAA